CAAGTTCAGGCATGAATATTTATATTATGGGTGGACTTGTTTTCCTGATCGAGTATGCCTGCCTTGGTTTGTGATAGAGAATTGGTGTGGAGGGGTGAAGTGTGTATCGATTTTTGTGTTCACCGAAGAGATGGCATTGGGAAAAGGCCAAAGCCTTGTGAAGCTTAGGATCGGGATACATATATGACCGAGGCGCTGACCTACGGAGACGACGCGTGGGAAATGCTGAAGCTTGTGAAGCTGAAGATTGGGGCACGGCATCGACTGAGGCGCTAAAGCTTCATTGCTGCCTAAGAAAGGAGCTCATCCGCCACCGACCCACAAGACGACGCTTTCGGAGACGGCTAAAGCTTTATAAGCTTAGGAGGGAACGCATGACCGAGGCGGCGACACACAAGGGACTCCGCGTCGGAGCATCTAAGCTTTGTAAGCTGTGTGAGGACCTCATCTGCCATCAGTGCGCTGAATCACAGGGGACGACGCATTGGGAGATGGTTAAATCTTTGTAAAGCTTAGTAAGAACGCAGCTACCGAGGCGATGACCTACAGGGGACTCCGCGTCAGGTGCATCTAAACTTTGTAAAGCTGAGTGAGGAGCTCATCTGGCATCGGTGTGCTGACCCACAGGGGACGATGCATTGAGAGATAGCTAAAGCTTTGTAAGCTTAGGAGGGAATGCATGACCGAGGTAGTGACACACAGAGGACTTCGCGTCGGGAGCTTTTAAGCTTTGTAAGCTGAGTGAGGAGCTCATCTGCCATCGATGCGCTAACCCATAGGGGACGACGCGTTGGGAGATGGCTAAAGCTTTGTAAGCTTAGGAGGGAACGCATGACTGGGGCGGTGACACACAAGGGACTTCGCGTCGGGAGTGTCTAAGCTTTGTAAACTGAGTAAAGAGCTCATCTACCACCGGTATGCTGGCCCATAGGGGACGACGCGTTGGGAGATGGCTAAATCTTTGTAAAGCTTAAGAGGAACGTAGCTACTGAGGCGATGACCTATATGGGACTTCGCATCAGGTGCGTCTTTGTAAAGCTGAGGATTTCGATCTGAGGTGAACATTTATGACGTAAAATGATTTGACAGCTAGTATATTTCCAAGGCGATAGTTGGGTGCGATGTCCATTCCCAGAAAAGGCTGTTGCGGCTACTTATTGTAGACGCCTGATGGTGATCGAGGCGACGCGTTTTATGCGAGCGTGAAGGTCATAGCTTGATCTTGGGCGTAGATCAAATCTAGTGTTTCGTATCAATGGCTCATATTTATGATGCGATGGACGGCCTAGATTGATTATGTTTGAATTCAACGGTGGAGATCAGCTGGGACGCTCTATAAAAGGCGAACTTGAGCATTTTGGGAGTTTTTCACTTTTGCGAAATCAAAAAATCCATTTCTTCTCAAGATTCTATCATTTTTCGACGTTGTACAACCATTCTCCAGCCACATTTCCAGTTTTCAGAGATACCACGTTGGTGTTAATCTTTTCCGACTGTAGGTCCCTCAATTTCTTGAGATTTAGTAAGTATTTTCCCAAGTTTTTTCACACTTTTCTATTCTGCAATGGCTTCGGATGGTAGTGGGGCTTCGGAAAGGGATTTAGAGGTGGTGAGGATGGATGAACCTACTTTGGCGACTGGGAAAAATATTTGGAGAAGGCCTAACAGCCCGGTAGATACATCAAAATACTAAGGAGCTTCAGATTACTCGTCGAAATTGAAGGAGGCTGATCTAGGTAGACTTAGGACTGAGTATATGATACCTGATAGTGTAGAATTGATATTGTCGGAGCCTGATGAGATGGCCTGCTATCCTAGGCCGGGGTGTGTGGCCGTGAGTGAGGCAGTTTTTAAGGCTGGACTTAGGTTCTCCCTCCATCCCTTCTTTAGGCTAATGCTGGGTTAGCTCCAACCCAGCTGAACCCGAACTCCTGGAGCCAAATGGTGGGGTCCTGGATGTTATGGAAGGAGGCGTCGCTCAGGGTGGAGATGCCCTTCTCGATTTTTCAGACTTTATACATCCCTAAGGTAGTAGCTGGGGGGACAAGACTAGGGAGTGGCATAATTTGACCTCATGGGGTTCCCATACTCCATTCGTACTTGATCTGCCGAGCTCCATTAAAGAATGGAAGAGCTGGTGGTGCTGGGCTATCGGAAGATGGGACACAATGGAGGAGGAACCCCTGGCCCCTCTTATGGTCCCTACGAAGTATTCCACACTTAGTGAGTACTGTTGCCTTACATTTTTGTTTATTCTTCTTCGGTTCGAATCCTAACCGCTCTTTACTTTTTTGAAGGTACCCTTTTTGGGTCTGAGATATCCACAATCGACTTCGACATAATTTGCATCGTCTACCAGCTGTCCCTGAAGAAAAGGTCATATCACGAGCTGATTAGGAAGAACATTCATTTTGTAACACACGACCTGATGGCTTCCCAAGGTAGATTTACGAAGTGGCCATGTCGCGTAGGTTTTTCGACCTCTTCAGGCTTGTAATAATTTGTTTATTTCCTTGCAGATAATTTCAACAATAAGAGGCCTCTGAGGCCTGACCTCAAGACAATTCAGAATATGATGGCTGAGGTGAGGGCCTTGAAGACCTCTTCATCTGCCTATAAGAAGTAGATGAAGGATCTGGTTGATGTCAGTAAGAGGCTTCAGCCTTTGACAGATGAGGAGGTCGAAGAAGACCTTGAGGCGAATCTACTGAGGAAGGGCAAGCTAGCTGTGGGCTCTTCAAAGGGGCCCACCGTGGCGAGGCCAGCACCAGCCTAAGGCAGACAACAATTCCAACCGGGTGGCCCTAAGGGAGAAGGTTGCTGAACCCTCCGTGGCTGTCCCTGCCACCTCCGCTATCTCGATTGAAGCTCCACTTTCAACCGTTCTCATATCTCAAGTGCCGGGGCAGCCGAGGAGAAAAAAGGCCTGCCCCACAAAAGAGGTGGACTTTTTGGGCATGAACACTGAAGAGCCCATCAAAGAAGTGCTGGAGGCTCTACCTCCCGAGACGGCAGTGGTGGCGGTGGTCCATAACAAGTACTGGACCGAGGAGTGGAAGGACCACACTGCCTCGTGCACTGCCGAAAATCTCGTGGTAGCCAACATTGAATGCATAGCCAGGGCCCTCAGTACAAGTGTTCAGTTGGAGTGCCTAATCAAAGATCTAAGGGTCAAAAATATTGATCTGGCGAAGCACCTTGAGGAGGCGATGCAGTATGGGGATGAGGTCCGGGCCGCCCGGGAGAAGGCCTCTGAGGCGGAGTCTGTGAAGCAGGAGGCTAAGGGCCAGCTGCCAATGCTGATGTTGAGAGGCTGAAGAAAGAGCTACACGAAACTGAGTACCAGGTGGTTGCTCTGACGAGGCGAATTGATCATGCCAATGAGCACCACCGTCTGGCTACTTCAGTTCTGGAGGTCTCCATGAGGAAAAGGCTGAGCTGAAGTAGTGGGCGGAGGCCCAAGCTGAAGAAATTGGCTCACTGAAGGGGGAGCTGAAGTCGACAGGGGAGGTGGCTGTGCGGAACTTCATTGACCCTTTTGAGGAGCACCCCCTGTACGATGACTTCGCCAACTATTGGGCCTCTTGGAGTGCCTAAGGACTGTTGGGTCAGCTGAAGGAGGTCCACCCGACTTTGGACATATCCTCCTTGGAGGCAGAGTTCGGTGGGCTTACTGGAGGCCGGCCTGACAGGGTTGCCGAAGAAGCCCTAAAGGAAAAATCGACGGTCGGGATAGAAGACGTTGCCCTAGTAGAGTAGGGCTATTTTTGCAATGGCTTCAGCCTCCTTTTTGTAACTTAGTTTGAAATGAATGGAATGAAAATTTTTCTTTTAAGTATTAGTGTTTCTTCATTTTTCTTGTGTTGAACTGTCTATCCTTGAGTAAGTGAATGATAAGCACTTAAGTAAATGTTAAGCATCACTTACCAATAATCAGTGGATAAAAGAAGATCGGATTAATAACATATTGAAGAACTGAGGTAACAACTCATTAATGGATCGGAACATACGTTCATCATTGATAGTATTTCCTCAAGTGTTCAATGTTCCATTGATGAGGCAGTACTCTCCCTATCATGTCTTCAGTTTCAAAAGTACCAGGTCGGGACTCCTTGCGATGCGATAAGGACCTTTCCAGTTCGGTCCAAACACTCCGGACCAAGTTGGCTTTGATGATTGGAAGACCCTTCTAAGGACGAGGTCCCCCAGTCGAAGAGTTCGATTTCTGACCTTGGAGTTGTAATAGCAGGTCATCTTTCTTTGATACTTAGCCAGTTTCACTTGGGAGGTATCCCTCTTTCCTTCAAGGAGGTGGAGTTCGCACATTCGAGTTTCGTCATTTTTTATCTCATTGAAGTGTATCCGACGATACGATGGGAGTCCTACCTCGATCGGGCTCATGGCTTTGGCTTCGTAGGTCATTGAGAAGGTTGTCTTCTCTGTCGCGGTTCGGCTAGTTGTGCGGATGGCCCAGAGGACGTGGGGAAGCTCATCGACCCACGCCCCGCTCGAGGTGTCAAGCTTCCTTTTCAGGGTATACTTAATGGTTTTGTTTACTGTCTCAACTTGCCCATTTGCTTGGGATGATGAGGCGTTGAGAAATCCTTCTTTATCCTCAGTTCGTCGCATAAGTCTCGCATCTTCTTGTTGTTGAACTGTCTCTCGTCGTCAGACACTAAGGAGTGGGGAGTGCCGAGCCTGCAAATAATGTTTTTCCAGATGAATTTTGTAGTATTCGCCTAGGTGATCTTGGTAAGAGATTCGGCCTCAACTCATTTGGTGAAGTAGTCAATGGCGACAATGGCAAAAGTCGCGCTTCCTCTTCCTTTTGGGAGTGGACCAATGAAGTCGATGCCCCACTTGGCGAATGGCCATGGACTAGTGACTACGGAGAGGCTCTGAGAAGGCTGTCTTTGAATATTTGAGAAACGCTGACACTTATCACATTTCTGAACAAACTAGCAAGCATCCCTTTTCAGAGTTGGCCAGAAGTAGCCTTATCAGAGTACTTTGTGTGCCAAAGCCATTCCTCCGGAGTGATTTCCGCAGATTTCCTCGTGGATCTCCCTGAGTATATACGTGGCTTCTTCCCCTCCTACACATCGGAGAAGTGGTGAGGCAAAGCCTCTTTTGTAGAGGACATCCTCTTGTAGGACGAAGTGTGCAGCCTTTCTTCTTAACTTTCTCGCCTCGCTTCTTGAAGCTGGTAGTGATTGATCTTTAAGATAGGTCATGATGGGTTGCATCCATAATGGGGTACTTTCTATCCATAAGAACTCTTCACTTCCGGAGATGGAGTGCTTCGACAAGCATTCAATGGGGACAATCTTTAGTAGCTCTGAATCTTTGCTGCAGGCCAACTTTGATAGCGCGTCTGGATGAGTATTCTCGAGGCGTAGGACTTAGATCAGTTCGAACCTTTCGAAATGAGGAACTAGGTCCAGCACCAATTTTAAATATGCAGTTATGCTACTGTCTTTGGCCGCAATGTTCCCGTTGACCTGACTCACCACAAGTTGAGAGTCGATGCTTGCCAGGAGCCTTCTGACCTGCATTTTTTTCTCGAGTCTAAGGCCTACTAGAAGGGCCTCATATTCGGTAGTGCTCTTCGAGGCTTTGAACCCGAACCTTACCGCGCAATTTAGCTTGTGGCCCTCTGGGCTTTCCAAGATGATCCCTACTCCGGAGCTAGTTTCTCCCGAGGATCCATCCACGAACAGGTTCCATGTTGGGGGCTCGGTTGGTTCCATTGTCACCTCCATTTCTAAGGCTTTGGAAAATTCAGCCACAAAATCTGCAAGGGCTTGGCCCTTGATGGCATGTCTGGGTCGAAACAGTAAGTTGAACGCATTGAGCTAGATTGGCCATTTTAGCAAGCGGTCTGAAGCATCCATCCTCTGCAGCACCTACTTTAATGGAAAGTTGGTGAGAACTTCAATTGAATGGGCCTGAAAGTGTGGCCTTAATTTCCTTGATGCCGTGATAAGGGCGATTGCCAGTTTTTCCATATCCGGGTAGCGTGTTTCTGCTAGGAGTAATGCTTTGCTAATGTAGTATACTGGCAATTGGTGCTCGTTTTCTTCTCTGACTAGGACTGCGCTGACCGCCTTGTCCGAGACCGCCAAGTATAGTAGTAGTGATTCTCGTGGTTCAGGTTTGGATAATAGAGGCGCCTCTTCTAAGTGCTTCTTCAGCGCTTGAAAGGCTTCATCGCACTCACCGGTCTATTGAAATTTCTTTCCTTGCTTCAACACTTTAAAGAAGGGTAGGCTCTTATCAGTGGCCCTAGAGATGAAGCGACTGAGCGCGACTATTCGACCTCCTTCGGCTTCTGAGGTGACCTCATTTCCAGTAAGGCCCTAATCTTTATCGGATTTACTTCGATTCCCCTTTGGTTCACAATGTATCCCAAAAACTGACCCGAAGCCACCTCGAAAGTGCATTTGAGGGGGTTCAACTTCATTTTATACTTTCTAAGAATCTGAAAGGTCTGGTCGAGGTGACTTACATGTTCGTTCGCCTGGAGGCTTTTAACTAGCATGTCGTCCACGTAGACTTCCACGGTTTTGCCAATGAGTTCGACAAACATCATGTTGACCAGCCTCTGATATGTAGCTTCGACATTTTTCAATCCGAAGGGCATGATTTTGTAGCAGTACAGTCCTCTGGCTATGATGAACGATGGACCTCCTCATCGGGTTGGAACATGGGTATCTGGTTGTATCCTGAGTACGTATCCATAAAGCTTAAGAGTTCATGTCCAGCAGTGGAATCCACAAGTTGTTCTATCCTCGGCAGTGGAAAGCTATCTTTAGGGCATGTTTTATTTAAGTCCCTTCATTTCCCGTTAGGCTTCTGCACAAGGACCGGGTTAGATAACCACTTCGGATATATGGCTTCTCTGATGAAGCCGATGCGGCTAAGTTTATTGACTTCGTCTTTGAGCGTCTCATACTCTCCGGGTTGAGAGCTTGTCTTTTCTGCCGATATGGAGCATATGAGGGGTTGATGTTAAGGCGATGGCAAATGATCTTTGGGTCTATTCCCACCATATCTTTATGCTTCCAAGCGAAAACATCCAAGTTCCTTTTCAGGAAGCTTATTATTTCTTCTTTCGCTTCGGGGGACAGTGTCTTTCCAATTCGCAAGATCTGACTGGGGTCCTCTGGGTTGGCGGAGAAAGTTTCAAGTTCTTCCATTGGGGTGGCATTCGGTTCTGAGTCAGTTATTCGGGAGTCTAACTCATCAAGAGGGTGCCCTTATTCAGGGACCTCTTCCATGTCGACATCTTCCTCCTGTTCGGAGGTATACCCTTGTTCAGGAGCGTCAAGCATTTCCACGTCTAAGTTGGCTTCGTTCGCTACCTTTGTTATGATCACGTTAATAGTGCAGGGTTTAATTTTCGCATAGAGTTTAGGTAACATGCTCTGGAACCCATCAGGTCACTTCGGACAATAGCAATTCCATGTTCAGTTGGGAACTTCATACATAAATAATGGATGGAGGTGACAGCCCAAAGATCTTTCAAGGCGGGTCTGCCCAATATTCCGTGGTAGGCTGATCTGTGGTCTACTATCAAGAATTCCATGAAATGTTGGGCCATCAGGTGAGCTGAACCCATTTCGATGGGCAGAGTAATTCACCTTTGTGGGACAATGTTGTCTCCAATAAATTCAAATAGTGGTCGGTCATGGGGATTAACCCATGTTCAATTTGCATTTTGTCTAAGATAGAGCCGAACAGTATATTCACCGAGCTGCCATTATCGACGAGCATGGGCTTGAGTTCGTTTCTTACCACTATGGCTCTTACTACCAATGTGTCACAATGGGGGTGGTGAACTCCTTGTGCATCTTCTTGGGAGAGGGTAATCAGGGCCATCCTGTTAGCTTCTTAGGACTGGTTGACGATGTACGTGAGCATTGATGGATCCTTTGCTTCCCTAGTGTAGTTCCTTTGGGCATTCCTAATGTTGCCATCGATGTGAGGTCCTTCAATGATCATGCCGATTTTCCTGATAATCTGACCGCCAAAAAATGGGGCCTGATCTCTCTGTCTGGATTCTTCCTTGTCCCACAATTCTCTTCTCCGGGATGACTGATCTCTATGCCTCCTCTCTCCCTTGTTCGGGGAGGCGGATCTGCGAGGATGTTCGTCTCTTCCGGAGGGATGTGAGTTATTCCGATCTGAGCGTCGAGGAGCGTTTATGCATTCGCCGGTGTCGTGTCCATAGAGTTGGTGGAAGGTGCAGAACCTTGTCCTTTCTAAGGGTCTATTTGACCGCTTCTTCTTCTTTTTTCGATTACTGTCAGTACCCCCAGATGGTCCCGCCTCTGCAGGGCATTCTCGTATGCCAATACCGATACTGCATTTAGCGTAACAGAAGATAGTGCCTGTCCGGACATGGAAGCTATTGTATGCCCTACTTGGGTCCATTGCTTGGTAATAAGGTGTGCTGCGGGTCCTCGACCTACCTGCCTCTAAGGCGGAGGGAGTTCCCATGTGGCACGATTTCGGTGATCAATCATCTCTTTACTGACGATTTCAACTCTCATCATTTCTACCAGTTCGTCATAAGTGGTAAGATTCTTGCTGCGTACATTCCTCCAGAACAAATTGTTCATGTTGAGGTCGCCTTTCAAGGCTAAAAGGGCTTCTCTATTAGTGATCTGTTTACAGTATGTGATTTCGTCCGTAAACCTGGCGAGGTAGCTTTTCAACGTTTCTCCAGGTGCTTGTCTCATATCTTGCAGGCGTTGCACTGGGACCTCTCCTTCTCTACGTGAGAGGTACTAGTTCAAGAAGGCATTTTTCAGCTCTGGCCAACTTCTAATGCTCAAGGGAGGCAGCCTGCTGTACCACACTTCGACGGATCCGGCCAGGGTTAGGTGGAAGGCTCTGCATTTCAATGCAGACGAGGCTCCCCTAAGGCTCATCCGTGTCATGTACTTGGTGAGGTGCTTCTTCGGGTCCCCTTTTCCTTCATACTTGGGGATTTGAGGGGGCACAAAATTCACAGATTTTTGGGGAGCTTCAGATCTCTCTTGAGAAATGGAGGTTATCATCATCATCATCATCAATCTCGTAAGATCGTCACAGCCCTTCGGAGTCTCCATCATCTTGCATGTTCTGGGGAGGTGGAGGTGATCCCCCTCGACTGCCCCAATCAACTAAGTTCCTTCTCTCCCTCCTATTTCTAGATGGGAAGGGTGCCTGTTCGTGCTCCTGTTCTTATCGAATTGATTTTTACACTGAGACAACCCTATTACTAGGGTCCTGCCCTATTCTGTCAAAGACATTGACTGACTTTTGTGCTTCATATTCTGGTGGGAAGTTGTCCCTCAATTGCGGTTCTACTGGCTGGCTCCCTTACACATAGGATGTGACTTCTGTACTCGCTTCTCTTTCGAGGAGGTGTTCTCTATGCTGGCTCATATGATCTTGGGAACGAGACGCAGGGACTTCATGAGCTGGGTAAGATCCTTGGGGCATTTGAGAGCCCTAATGACCTCGAGTTTGCATGAAGAATTCGTGCATCACCATATTCTGAGTTGCGATATCTCTCATGCCCGCAGCTATTTGAGTCATTCCTTCGGTGAGCATGATCGTTCATTCACTTCGACGACGTCGGTGATGGGGTCTTCGGTGAGTGACATTGTTTCGAAGCACCTCTTCTTCAGAGGTGTCCATCCTGGGGTTTGCATCCTTATTACTAGAACTCATCTTATCTACTCCTTTTTCAAGGGTGATAAGATTTTGGATAGTAATTCAACTTTGTTCATTTTCAAGAACGTGCCCTTTTTAGGGTTAGTTAATGGCTTTTCGATGGCTTTTTCGGTGGAGAATGCAGAGCTTTGGACGGGAAGTTTCCCACAGACGGCGCCAATCTGTTGACCCTGCGAATTGGATCTCCTATATGGCCAACCGATAGCTACTCCACGTGATCCTCCCTGCGCATAATCAACACATGGTTAGACGCACACAGTCGGAACCAGTTGGGGTGGTGGCGGCCGCATACATTCCCACGGTCAAATTAGTATCCGGTGATCAGAACAGTGCCCGAGTTGTGCAAGAGAGTGGGGAGGAGATTATATATATTTTCTTGTTATAGAGAGCTAAGTTGTAAGAGTTTTAGTACATTTTCCCTTTGTCAAACCTTGGGCATTTATAGGTGAGGAGAACCGTTGGATGTGGGACACGTGTATGCATTTGATGGTGTGAAGCGTCTACTCATAGGCGTCAATCAGCCGCGTCTATAAAGTGGGTGGGTAATAATTTTTCCTAAATTGAGTTGACATAAAGTTGATACGTCACATCAACTAGACCCTTGAAGACGTCAAATCAATTAAGTCTTGGGGGCAGAGAGGATCTTGATACATATCTCTTTCTGAAAGTGGGCGGAAGGAGAACCTCGGAGTGCATTGTGCTTCGGCGTCAAGGGCACTTCGGTCGGTTTGGTAGAATTATTTTGTGCCTTGCAGCGCGTTAGCAGCGCGCGGACATTGGTGATGGAGTCACTTCGGACCACTTCGGGTTCGTGGTGGACACCTCGTATGGTGCAGTGGTAAACTTTCCGAACTTGGTGATGGAGTCACTTCGGACCACTTCGGGTTGGTGGTGCACATTTCGTATGGTGTAGTGGTAAACTTTTCGAAGTGGTTCAGATAGGGGCGTAACACGTGCTTTTAACGATCATTCACTAAATTAAGGAACAAATTACACGAGATTAGATTTTGCTTATCCAAACTAAGAGTAATATTGAATCAACTTTTTTCCATTCTCAAGTAATGCTTATGAATCCCCCATGGAGCTAACTAAGAATATATCTAGCAAGATGTTTATAATCAGTGATAAAACGAGTGATGGAGAAGTGAATAATACTTGTGGGATCTTACGAAAGATGTTAATAATTTGTTAAACATATTTTTCGACTAAGATATTTATAAAAACCTAAAAACACCTTCCCAAGCATATGCTAAAATCCGTGATCCCAAACCTAATTTCTTGAAGAAATGACAAGGACGATATGAAATCACCTCCGCAACAAATAATTTTTTTATAAATTTCAAACCGACTTAGACTTCAAAAATAAGCCCAAGTTTGTAATTAATCGTGTAAGTGAATAAGTTTTAAAAATAAGATTTTTTTTATTTTTTATTTTATTGGTGAAGGCATAATAAATAAAGGTAATTAGCACAAAACGTTATTACATTTTACTACTATTGTGGAAAATGTTCTTACCTTTCTTTTTTTGCATTTTTTGTAATGTCATTTTCACCTATTTTCTTAATTAAAAACTGTGAAATAACAAATATACCTTTCTATTTAAATAAAACAAAAAGAGAAGGGATGAAATAATTACAACCATAATCCCAATTTTTTAAAAAGTGCAAATGAGTCCCAATTAAATTATTAAAAGGATAATTAGCATACAATGTCCATACATTTTACTATTATTGTGAA